AAGAAATGAAAAGACAATCTACAGAATGGGAGGAAATATTTGCAAATCATATATCTGATGAAGAGTACAACTTCCAGAATATATAAAGAACTCCTACAAATCAACAATAAAAAGACAACTTCATTTCAAAATGGTCAAAGAATTTGGATATACATTTCTCTTAAGAAGATATGTTGTTGTTTAGTGCCGTTGAGTCAGTTCCAACCCACAACCACCCTGTTAGAATTTTCGTGGAGCGGCTGGTAAGCTTGAACCACTGACCTTGTGGTTTAAACTGACTTTGCAGTCCAGTGCACCAGGAAGATACACAAGTGACCAATAAACACATGAAAAGATGCTCAATATCAGTAGTCATTAAGGAAACATAAATTAAAACCACAATGAGATACTACTTCTTACCTATGAGGATAGTTATAAAAAGTGGAAAATCATAAACGTTGGTGAGGATGTGATGTGTGGCACTTGGAACGCTTGTCCATTGCTGGTGGGATTATAAAATGGTATAACTGCTGTGGAAAGAATTTAGTAATTCCTCAAAATGTTAAACATAAAATTACCATATGACCCAGCAATTCTGCTCCTAGGTTGTTGTTGTTGTTAAGTGCCGTCAAGTCGGTTCCGACCCATAGCGACCCTGTACAGGGTTTCCAAGGGTGTAAATCTTTACGGGAGTAGAAAGCCTCATCTTTCTCCCGCGGAGCGGCTGGTAGTTTCGAACCGCTGACCTTAAGGTTTGCAGCCCGATTCGTAACCACTACGCTACCAGAGCTCCTTAACTAAGGCAGATATTTATACACCATTATTCACAATAGCATTATTCACAAAATTAAAACTGAAAGCACCCCAAGTGTCCATCAACAGTAACTGAATAAACATATACATACAGTGAAATATTACTCAACCATAAAAATGAACTATGTTCTGACAGGTACCACAACATGGATGACCTTGAAAACATTGTGCTAAATAAAAGAGCTTGACACAAAAGGATAAGTATTTTACGATTCCACTTATATGAAATATCTAGAATAGGCAGATTCAAAGAGACAGAAAATTGATTAGAACTAACTAGAGGTTTGGACGGAGAGGGAGATGGGGAGTTCTTGCTTAAAAGGAGGCAGAGTTTCTGTTTGGGATGATGATAAAAATTTGAAAATAGATAGTGGTTATGGCTGCATAGCAATGCAAATATAATTTATATCCCTGAATTGTTTATGTAAAAATGGCAAATTTCATGTTAGACATATTTGTCCCAAAAAAATGACATAAGAAGAAACACTTCAGCCAAAGATTTCATTTAAAAACTTCTCCACAGAAGCAAAAGTGATTCAACATTGTAGGAGTTCAGATTCGCAGGGCAAACTCAAGGAGACCCCGTACGTTTAACTTCCATTCTCATTACACCTTTGGAAATAATCGAGCCAAACAAAGTGAGTTTTGAAAAGTGTTTTCTTTATAACAAGAATAAACTTTGGAGATTATTTGTGATCATATAATAATCATTTAAAACTTGCAAACAAGTTCGAATGAATGGCAGACAGCACAGCCTCCAAAGTTATGCAGGGCCAGAAGCCACCCACGCATTGTCTAGACCAGAGGGGTGGACATAGTTCATCTCATTGTTTACATTTAATTAAAAGCCCTAGACTCACTGAAGTTACTCAATAACTTAGAGTTTTTGTCTGTGAGAGATGAAAATAGTACTTGTCTAATAGATTTATGACCTGTTGAATATTAACCATTTCCCAAATTTTTTAAATTGAGGCATCTGGTAGCGTAGTGGTTACGAATCGGGCTGCGAACTGCAAGGACAGCAGTTCGAAACTACCAGCTGTTCTGCGGGAGAAAGATGAGGTGTTCTGCTCCCGTAAAGATTTACAGCCTTGGAAACCCTGTACAGGGTCGCTATGAGTTGGAACCGACTCCACGGCACATAACAGCAACAACAACATATAACTATATTTGGAGTCCTGGTGTGGCACTTTAGGATCAGCCCTGGACTGCTACACAAGGTTGGTAGTTCAAACCTACCAGTCACTCCTTAGAAACCTAATACAGGATCGCTATGAGTCAGAATTGACTCGACAGCCTTAATAACTACATACATGTAACAATCTGTTTGCCTTTTCAACATTTTTTCACATGTACAGTTCAGTGGCATTAGTTATGTTTTCATGTTGTTCAGGAACTCTGGTGGTACAGTGAGTTAAGCATTGTCCTACTAACCAGTAGTTTGAACCCACCAGCTGCTTCCGGAAGAAAGATGGGACTGTCTGCTTCTAAAAAGATTCAGTCTGAGAAGTCACATGGTCCTTCTTGTTGCTGTTAGGTGCTGTTCCGATGAGTTCGTTCCAACTCATAGCTACACTATGTCAACAGAACAAAACACTGCTCGTTACCCTGGTGCTCACTGTTGCTGTCACTGTGCCAAGTGACATTGGAGAGCTTCCTCTTTTTCACTGACCCTCTACTGTACCTAGCTTGATGTCCTTCTCCATAGACTGGTCCCTCCTGATAATATGTCCGAAGCATGAGAGACAAAGTCTTGCCATACTGGCTTCTAAGGAGCATTCTGACTGTATTTCTTTCAACACTGATTTTTTTTCTTCTGGCAGTTCATGGTACTTTTAATAGTCTTCTCCAATACCATAACTCCAATGCATAAATTCTTCTATGATCTTCCTTTCTCACTGTTCAACTTTCACTTGCATATGTAGCTACTGAAAATACCATGACTTTGGTCAGGTACACTTTAGTCCTCAACCTGACATCATCACTCTTGAACACTTTAAAGAGATCTTGTGCAACAAATTTTCCTAAAGCAATACATCATTTGATTTCTTGACTGCTGCTTCCATGAATGTTGATAGTGGATCCAAGCAAAATGAAGTCTTTAACAATCTTTCAATCATTCCTCTACTTATCATGATGTTATTTATTGGTCCAGTGGTGAGGATTTTTGTATTCTTTACATTAAATTGCTGCCCATATTGAAGGCTGTGATCTTTGATCTTCATCAGTAAGTATTTTAAGTTCTTTTTGCTTTCAGCAAGCAAGTTTGTATTATCTGCATATCTGAGGTTGTTAATAAGTCTTCCTCCAATCCTGATGCCACGTTCTTCTTCCTGTAATTCAGCTTCTTGGGTTATTTGCTCAGCATACAGACTGGATAAGTATGGCAAAAGAATAAAACCCTGGCACACACCTTTCCTAATTTTAAACCATTCAGTGTCCCTTTGTTCTGTTGGAACAACTGTTTCTTGGTCTATGTATAGAGTCCTTACGAGCACAGTTAAGTGTCCCAGAACTCATTTTCTGCAATTTGTCCATAGCTTGTCATGATCCACACAGTCAAAAACTTTTGCACAGTCAATAAAGCACAGGCAACCATCTTCCTAATATTCTCTACTTTTAGCCAAGATCCATCTGACGTCAGTAATGATAGCCCTCATTCCTCATCCTCATCTGAACTTGGTGCAGTTCCTTATCAATGTACTGTTGTTGTAGTCATTTTTTAATTATCTTTAGCAACACTTTATTTGCATGTGATATTAATAATGTTGTCCGAAGATTACTGCATTCCATTGGGTCACCTCTCTTTGGAATGGGCACAAATATGGATCTCTTCCAATCAGTTGGCCAGGTAGCTGTCCTCCAAATGTCTTGGCATAGATGCATGAGTGCCTCCAGTTCTGTATCAGTTTATTACAAGATTTCAATTTGCATTCTATGAATTTCCCAGTCCTTGTTCTTTGCTGATGTCTTCAGTGCACCTTGGACTTTTTCCTTCAGTACCATTGGCTCTTGATGCTATCTCTTGAAATGTTTAAGCATCATCCATTTCTTTTTGGCACAGTGACTCTATGTTTCTTTTATTTCTTTTGATGTTTTGTGCATCATTCAATAATTTACTCAGAGAATTCTTCAATATTGCAAGTCAAGGTTGAATTTTTTGCCCCAGTTCTTTCAGCTTGAGAAATGTTGAGCATGTTCTTTCCTTTTGGTTTCCTAACTCCAGGTCTTTGCACATTTCATTAAAATACTTGATTTTTTCGTCTTGAGTTGCCCTTTGAAATTTTATGTTCAGCTCTTTTACTTTCTCATTTCTTCTGTTTGCTTTGGCATCTCTATGCTGGAGAGCAAGTTTTAGTGTCTCTTCTGACATCCATTTTGGTCTTTTCCTTCTTTTGTATTTTTAGTGATCTTTTGCTTTCTTGATGTCATTCCGCAACTTTTTTGATCCTAATTCATTAGCATCTAATACATCAGATCTGTTCTTCATATGATTTCTAAATTCAGGTGGGATATGTTCAAGGTCAAATTTTGGCTCTTATTGACTTGTTTTAATTTTCTTCAGTTTCAGCCTGAGCTTGCATATCAGCAATTGATGGTCTGTTCCACAGTCTGCCTGGCCTATGAGACTCCAGTGGCTCACATGGGTCCCTTTGCATTGAGGATGGATGCAGGAGAAGTTAGTCTTGGTGTTTCAGTGAAATGTTTTGTCATTGACATAGTTTGATTTCCAGGGTTCTGGTTAGGCATTGAGCTGTTAACTTCAAGGCTGGTGGTTCAAACCCACCAGTCGTTCCCCAGAAGAAAGATGAGGTTGTCTGCTCCCATAAATATTTATAGTTTTGAAAACCCTAAGGAACCCTATTCTGTCCTATAGGGTCACTGTGTGTGGAAGTGGGTTCGATTTTGCATTTTGGACTGCTCCCTTATTTCAACTTTTTTGCTCAATGAGCCTAAATTTTTACTATTAGTTAAGTTACTTCTTTGATTTAAAATCCTTTCTGTGGTTAAAATGCAAATGTTTCTGGAAGTAGGCAACATGAAAAGCTTTGCCAGTCATTTGCATGTTAGTATAAAAAAGTTGTTGGCCTTTTCTAAGGGCATCAAGAGAGAGAAGAGAGGGCAGACAAATCATGCCTTCTGGAATAGGGAATTTCAGAAGGTTCCATAAAAGGGGATATAGGGCCAAGATGGGGCCCTGGGCTCACCGTCATATCCTCGCGGGTAACAAAGCCCCTCTCCTTGGCACCACAGTCCTGGAAAAAGTTATGTAGTTCTGCTTGGAAGGACCAGGATTCTGGCTCTGGGGCCGAGGAGGCATCCTGGCCATCAGCTGGCTCTCGTGTCTGCCGGCGGCGGCTAGAGCCCAGCTTCCGGCCTTTTCGGGAAACTCTCTGTCCACTCTCCATGGTGCCTTGGTCCTGGGGACAGACAAAAGGTAAGGTGGCACTGGGCCACTGAATACAGTTACTGTCTGCTTAAAACTTTTCCTGGCTCCCCATAATCACTGGAAGAAAACCCACCTTCGTCAGTGAAGCTTTGCCTGATCATCCCTGTGACCTCATCTTAGACTCCACTCTGGTAGCGTAGTGGTAATGAATAGGGCTGTGAACCGCAAGATCAGCAGTTCGAAACTACCAGCGGTTCCGCGGGAGAAAGATGAGGCGTTCTGCTCCCGTAAAGATTTACAGCCTCGGAAACCCTGTACAGGGTCGCTATGAGTCGGAACCGACTCCACGGCACTTAACAACAACACTGGCCTCCAGCCCCTCTTGCTCTGGCTTTTGGTCCTTTCTGTTCCTTCTGCCTGAAATGGCTTTTCCTGAGCTGTCCACGTGACTCATGCCCTCACTTTCTTCAGTCATCCACTCAAATGCCCCAGACCTTCTTTGATCACTAGATACAGTACTCCCTGCCATCTTGCAGGAGGTGTTCTATTTCTCTCCTGGGAGGGGTGGTGTGATGGTGGTGGAGGTGATGGTGGTAGAGGTGGTTGTGGTATAGAGGAGATGGAGGTGGTGATGGCAGAGGTGGTGGTGGAGGTTGAGGTGGCAGTATAGTGGTGGTGGAGGTGGTGAAGGTGGTGGTGGTGTAGAGGTGGTGGAGGTGGTGATGGTAGAGGTAGGTGATGGTAGTGTGGTGGTGGTGGTGTTAGTAGAGATGGTGGTAGTGTGGTGGTGGAGGTGGTGGTTATGAAGGGTAGTCCAGGATTTCATTGTGTGATGAACCAGGAAAAGCTTCCAGACAATTCTTTCTTTAGCAATTTCTCCATCAAAATGACTGATTCTGAACTTCTCCCACCATCACTTCCTTATTTTCTCGGCCCTGTCAGCCCTTGCCTCTCCTCCATTCCCCGCCTCAACATTTCCTGACTCCGTCAACACATGCACAGAGAATCAGTAGCTCCTTCATAGGGCTCATAAGACCCTGATGAAGTGGCCCCTGCCTCATCCCTCCCCACCTCCAACACTCTTGAGGTCAAGAACACTCACGGCTAAGAATGCCAAGTTCCCTCCTATCCTTTACCCAAAACCTCCCCCAACCTTCTCACTTGCTTGCCTTGTTAATACCTCTCAGCTTCACCTTAGAAGTTGCCTCCTTCCAGAAACCTCCCTGGAAGCCACCTAACCACTAAAAATTGGGCTTAGTGCCCCCTTGTCTGTGGCCCTGTGTTGCTCTGGGCTCCTCTGTGGATATCATAGTGCACCTTGGTCCACATTGTTCCACAGCTCCTTAGCACATAGTAGGTGCTCAAGTAAGGGTTATCAAGTTCATTAGCAGGGTTCCTTCATCTGTTGCTTAGGTTTTAGGTCAGTAGGCCAATCAATAGGATTGGTTCAGGTGAAATCTCCAGGGCAGGGGAAAGGCAGGTAGGATCTGGAAGGACCAAACAAATTTAGTACCTATAAAACTGTGAGGGGAAGGGATGTAGGGCCCAATGTTCTGAAGGGCAGATCAGGCTTCCCTGGGTATGGGGTCTTGAGCCAACCTCTAAATGAGACAGGTAGGATTAGAGACAATGGATAATATGTGTGAAGGAACCAAGGCAACAGAAAACAAGGCCTGTGCCCAGGAGAGAAAAGAAGCATTCATCCAGGCTCTGCTGAGCCAAAGGCATGGACAGGTTGAGCAGAGGGGTTAGGGGCTCTGCTTTAGGGATGACAGGCTCATTCCATGGAGGATGGAGTCACTGGTCCAGGCTTCCCTCAAGCAAGTCCCTCATGTAGGTAGTACAGAACTTGGGTGAAACAATTCCTTGCCCTGGGGAGTCCCACAACTTCAAAGTGAAGTAGCGTGTCCCTGTGTCTGCTTTGTCTCTTTATATATTTCTCTCTCTCTTTCTTGGAACCTTAATTTTGTTTCAGAGGCAGTTTTAAGATCATGACTGTAACATTACAGTAGTCTGCTGGGACCCAATCTTAGAGGTTCACAAGTGTACATCTCTTCCTAACTCAGAAGTCAGCATGATGGGAGAATTTACACCATGGGAATTGGCAAATGTTACAAACCAGAGTTTTTCTCACTTCAAAACTTGTTGTTAAACAGGTACCACCATACCTGCAAGGAAGAAAGCTTCCTTCTTCACAAACTCTTCCTAAGATCTATCATACACTAAGCAACAATCACTTAAAGTGAATTAGGAAAACATACTCCTTCTCCCCAGCAGACACCTCCAGTGACAGGCAAATGGAATGTGGATTGGATCCTGGTCCCTGCTCACCTCTTGGCCAACACTGTTGTGCAGGACATTACCTGCACACCCAAGCAAAGCTCCTGGCCCTGTAGGTGCAGGTGTGACTAACTCCTGGTCTCCCCTGGAGGCACTCACAGCATTATTCAAAAGACACAAAAATAATTACACTGTATCTTGGAAGGGGCAGCAGATGTGTTGCCAAGTGCTGAAAAAGCAGCTCACTTGCCTGGGCCTGTTAGGGAGGGCTTCCTGGGGGAGGTGACAAAACTCAGTAGTGAGTTCCAAGGAGAAAGCGATCATATTTAACCCTGGTTGGTGCCTTGCTTTAATCTGGGCATGTTTTGGGCACCCAAATAGTCACTAATTCCTTCACTGACTCACACTGTCCCCTAAAAGGTGGGATGTTCTACTAGATGACTAAATAGACTCTTTAAAAATGTTCTTGTCATAAAAGAACAAATAAGGCAAGAAAACTGTTTTAAGTAATCAAGAAACTAAAGAGAAATGACACCTAAATACAATGTGCAACACTGATCTGGATTTTATTTCAGAAACAAACAAGAAAGCTGTTGGAGACTGAGGGACTTCCAGCAGACTGGATGGCGGACTAGACAGATGTACTACATGGACCCTGTACAACAAAGATACAAAAGACTAAAGAAAACAGACACAGATGAAAATTCTGGCACCCTGAACTTCAGAAGAAAGGTTAGAAAGGTGGATGGAGGGCTTTCTGAGAGGAGAGGCCAAGCAGGGATGGCGAGAGAGGGAGACTGACTGGAAAACAGAAAGTCAGATATGGCTTAACCATCTTGTGAGCAGCTTTGGCAAGGAACACATTCACAAAGGTGACAGGAGAAGTGTGATTTCTTCTTTTTCCCTCTGCACTCCTGGTGACCAGAAGTGTGGCTAGTTCTTACCCTCATCCACTCTAGTGCAGACCCTGCTATCAGGGAGTTTAGGGACACATGATTGGGAGCCATGCCACTGTGAGGACCAGCTGCACAGCTTTGGTGTCCAGATTCAGGTGGGCTTAGCTCCAGATCTACTAAACATGAAAGCCACCAGACCAGCATTTAACCAGCCATTCTGCCCCCAGCTTCCTGGTGGTCCTAACAGATACTGAAACCAGCTCCATCAAGAACCCCCATGAACAACTTGAGTTGAGTCTAATAGGAACTCCATCTAGGGCCAGGAACTCTGCTGTCACATCCCTTCCAAAATCACCTCATGAGCTCCTTGAATTGCAAGAGCCCACCAAAGATTTATCTCCTCTGGGTCCAATAACCATACTGTTTGTTTTTATAAATACGACAACCTCACAATGTTGTGGATGCAACAGAAAATTTTAGCTCACACAAAGAAACAAAATAGAATGACTCAAAAAATTACCAAGATGCAGAGACAGAAAACACTTCTGAGGAAAAAAAGGTAATGGAACTAACTGAAAAAGAATTCAATCAAATATATATATATTGATACCTTCACTGGATTGGCAGAAAAATCAGTGGAAGCAAGGAGAACACAGAAAAACCTTTAGAAGAATTCAGGAAAATGCTACAAAAACAGACAAAATAAGTGCAAATCTTGAAACAATACAAAGCCTGCAATTAGTAATCCATAAGATTAATACTAAGAATACAGAAATGGACAATACATTGAAAGGACTAAGAAAATTTGAAGCAAGGGAAGTCCAAATCAGTGAACTTGAAGCTAAATCTCTCTCTATGCTAGAAGAACAAACAGAAAAAAGAATGAAAAAATCTGAAGAAAGCCTAAGAGTTATGTGGGACACCATGAAGAGGAACAACTTACAGGTCATTGGAATTTCAGAACAGAAAGAGACACTTGATAGCACAGAGAAAATTGTCAGAGTTGTTGGAAGAAAACTTTCCTAACATCATGAAAGATGAGAAGGCGAACATACAAGAAGTTAAACAAATCCCAAACAGAATAGATCCCAAAGGAAAATTACCAAGACATATCATAATCAAACTTGCCATAACCTAAGACAAGGAAAGAATCCTAAGAGCAGTTCAGGAAAAATGAAAAGTTACCTACAAAGGAGAACCAATAAGTCCAAGTTTTGCTTTCTCAACAGAAAAAACTCTGAAAGAAAATAATTGCCAACCAAGAATCACATGTTCAACAAAGCTGTCCCTCAAATATGACAGTAAAATTAGGACATTTCCTGATAAACAGAAATTAAAAGAATTTGTAATGACTAGAGAAACTTTGCAAAAAATGCTAAAGGATGTTCTTTGGACTGAGAACCAACAGAAGACAACAACCTGAGATTACCATACATGACAACAACACCCAGAACTCAATCCAAATATACAAGTATTTAAAGTAAAACAAACCTACAGGACTGAAAATAGGGAACCAGAGATACCAATGTATATTGAAGCCAACTACAAAGCAAAAAGAGGAAATAGTGTCGATTCAGAACTTCCAAATGGCAAAGAAGTCAAGTAGATTTCAAGATTAAACATACTGTTTTGAGCAGGGGAAAAATTAACAAATTACAAGCTAACCTCATATCAAAATTTTAAAAAAGAAGATAATCAGAAAGATTTAGAGAACATTAATGCAATAGAAATGAAACTGAAAGGAGAATCCACAAACAGAATGAACTCAGTATTGAAAATTATGTGGCTCATAGAATCTAGCAGCACTACACACACAGAGAAATGTCAGCAAACAATTCATACC